AGAAGACTGAAGACATTGCACGCAGGGGACGCTCAGCACCCGTCCCCTGCTTTCTTTCGAATTCAACAAACGCCTTCCACAAACAACGCTTTCCTTCTGAACGCTACATTTTCCTAGCCCTTTTTGCTTATTTTTCGTGCAAAGTTTAGCCTTTTTTCTTACATAATTTTTCTTAACTGCGTGCGGGCGCAATCTGCTGTGTTTGTACGCGAAGGGAAGGGAGGGGCGAGTACCGTGAGACGCAGTACCTTCTTTCGAAGACCGTTCATTCGTTTACTCATGAAACTCAACAGAGCCGTAGAGCCATGCCGCGGGGGGAGGTTCAGGGAACTCTTCGCGATATGTGGAAGGAAAAGCCATCAGGGTAGCATTTGGTCTCCGCCGGGACAGAGATATGTACTGACTGGTGTAAATCGGTGCGACGCTGATTTACGCTCGTTTTTTTTGCTTCACAAGAACGAGATAAATGTGTCCACTTGGACTTTCCTCCTTCTTCCGCTGCCGGCAATGCAGTACATTAGTTGGCCAAGTACAAACTGGTGTACTGTATGGTAGTTGTTTTCAACACGTCACCGACTGCTGTACATCTCATTTCAAGTACTGCACTCCTGTTCGACGTCAACAAACGGTTGCCAGTCGTCTCGGCGATGCTGACTTTTCGTACCACCCCCTTCCTTAGCAAAAGAGTAATTTGAGGTATAGCATGCCTCCAATGGCCCCGGGGATGGTGAGCTATTGTCCCCTGAATATTAAGGACGTAACCCCCCTTGAAGGACGTTTTTTTTCAGGAAAAGCCATGTGCGCCCTTAAAGCGGGGTCGACTGTACAGAATACACAGAAGAAGAAACAAGCCGCACGACCTGACCAACGGACGAACCCGCCTAGCTGGGAGGAGACAGGAGACAAGTCCCGAAACAAACAAAAAAAGCACCCCCGCAGGCCAACAGCACGTCACACAGCAGCAGCCGTGCGCAAATAGTAACCTCCTACTGGTATACTGCAAACACAAATGTAGCCCTCCCGACAACGATTCGCCCAAAAACGCACAAAGGACAGCAATGCAAACACGCCAAAGGCGAAGTTGAAGCAGCTCTCCGTTGAGCAACATGCTCCCAAACAAAAGAAACGCCAAATAAAACGAAAGGAACAAACAAGACTCCGCCTTACCCCCAAGCCAAGCGCAGTAGAACCAAGAAGGTTCAGAATGCTCCGGCCGATTTACCCAAAACGCCTAATCGCAGTGTAGTGACAGACACACAAAAATTGCCGTGGTATATCGGAACCCGCGCTGTTGGGGGAAGGTCGGTAACTAAAAAATTAGTAGCAGGATAGGTGTTGTGCCAAGTAATTGTATCCGCGATATTACGGGAACCGCACTGTTCGGGATCGCGGTACGGTATATCGGGACCACTGGTCTCCGCTAGTTACAAGTAGGCAGTCACCAGCAGGTCTTTTGGACCGGCGTAGTTTTCGCCAGCCATGTAGCCGATACACCACAACACGAAGTCACCCATCAGCAGCAACCCGATGAGTCGCTCCCCCCGCCGTTCCCGTCTCCGGTCAACTGTTCCAAAAAAGTGGCCATCACGCCCAGACGGGGAGATCGACGCCAGCAGCCAGGACGCCAGCGTTTGGGACATATTTCAAGGCGAGTCGTGACAAGGACGGGCGCGAGACCAACGGGAAGGGGCCCCGCAGATATTAATGGAGAGGGGGGGATATGGAGGTCAGAGCAAGAAACGCGGGACGGTGGGAGGGGCTGGAGTGGAGAGAAGCGAGGAGGAAAAGAAGGAAGAAGTGTGAGGAATATTGGATTTGAGTGTGTGGACGGACAAAGCGCAGCGAGGCAAACACGACAGAGCGNCCCCCCCCCCCCTATTTTTAATCCATACGCCGTCTAGAGCACGTACCCCACCGTGCTTCAATGCCCGGTCTCACCCGTCTAAACAATCTCCAGGCGTTGGGTGAGCAACAATGGAAGCCATCATAGCTGCGTCATTCTCTCACCTTCATTCCAAGGCGACCAGACGGGTGTCCGGACGCTGGAATTCTTTCCAGGACCTTCTCTACCAAGAACCGGCTCGCTTCGTCGATGTTGATGTTTTGCTTTGCTGAGGTCTCGAACCACCCCGCGAACCCATGTCGGTCGCAAAACCACGTGAGCGCTTCCCTAAAGGCGCCACGGGAACAACAAAGCTAACGTTTAGGCGGGAAGCTCGTTGAGAGCTACAAACAACAGGGCGCGTCATGCAATGGCGCCACGGGAACAATTAAGATAACGATCAAGTAGCGTAGCAAGCACTTCGAGAGCTACGCGTACAACAGGGCACGTCCTGCAATACACGCATAGGGAAATGAGGGGATGCTTGGATGTTACAACCCCCCCCCCCCCCCCCCCCCCCCCCCCCCCCCCCCCCCCCCC